GCTCTGATATTGTCCAGTGGATGCAGAAGAACCTGAACATTGAAGACCAAGGTACAGTAAGATTTGAGATCATATTAAGCTGTGAAACACTGTCTGTCTTTCCTGAAATCACTCTCTCAAACTCACGAGAGCTTACAGACAGAGAGGAGAGCCGCGGATCTGTCCTGTCTAATCTGCTCGTGTCGCGGTAAACTCGTTAGGCAGATCGTTCAGACCGTTTGTCATTATTCAATCATGCGGCGGTAAATAAACGGCTTGAGGAGGAAATCAAACGCTGCCGTTTACATCCACTGAGCTTCATTGATTTCAGCTTGATTTGTTTTTAACCCAACATGACCTTCATGAAATCAGACGCTGTTTTCCATTCAAACAGACGCACTCTAACAGGGAACGTTCTGAACAAACATTCTTCCAGTAGTGTTAATAGAGCGTTCGTTCAGTGTTATCTAGGGCACATCATCAAAATGTTACAAAAACGTTATTTATTCATTGTTCATGGAATGTTTGACATTCAACTTTTTTTTTTTGCTACATTAATGCTAGTTTCAGAATGTTCAGAGAAAAGTAACATTCTGAAAATTTGTTTTGTCAAAAGTAACAAGTCACAAGTAGTTTGCAAAATGATAAAATGGAACATTCCTGTAATGTTTTCTCTAACATTCAGATAAACAAGAAAAAACATTTTTTTAAACATTTTTAAAAAATCATTAAAAAAAAAACATTTGGACATTCAGAAATAATGTTTTCATAACTTAATGGATACTTTTACAAAACTTTTTTAGCAGGGTTATTATAGTTAACTGAAACTAAAACTAAAGCCATAAAACAAGTTTTGTTACTTGAAATAAAATAAACTTTAACTGAATAAAATAAATAAATAATAAAATATTAAGAAAATAAATAAAATATAAAAAACTTAGACTTGTATTATTTAAGCTAGTTTCTCATTTTCACTTAGTTTATCTTGATGTACTTAAATATCTTACACCAATAATAATAATAATAAAAAAAAAATTAAAGTAATGACAAAAAAAGACAAAAAAAATTACTGAAACTAACTCAAATTATATATAAAACTATGGAAGCCCGTTTCCGCCACTGAATAAAAAAATAAAAAAGGTAACTGCGACTTTTTATTTTTATTATGAGAAAAAAGTCAGAATTGTGAGATATAAACTCATATTTGCGAGAAAAAAAAATCAGAACTGCGAGTTTATATCTCATATTTCTGTGAAAAAAAAGTCAGAATTGTGAGATAAAAAGTCGCAATAACCATATTTATTTTTTATTCAGTGGCGGAAACAGGCTTCCATATATAAGTAATTAAAAATATTAATTAAAAAGTTGTATCTCAGTGATACTAAAATAACGCTGGATCTGTGTTAGCAGTGACAAGCACAAATGACCAGATACAGAAACATGACGCATGCACATCTGCATTCACATCACCTCAGTGCATGTGTTTTTAATGCCTTTAGTCTCCATTAGTCCAGCTTTGTGTCTCAGTGTCAGTCAGATCCAGATTCAGCTCCGTTTGCGCTTCATTTGCAGTGCATTATGGGAACAGGTGATTTCAACACATTCAGTGACTGTTTTTGCTTTTGAAGAACCAGGAAAATCTATTTTTTGGAAACCTGGAAAAATGAGGAACAATGTGATTTCTAGACCTAAAAAAATGTCATGTAAATTACTCTAATGTTAATATGCTATGGGCATTTTATAATTAATATGCATTTTACTAGTTCTGCCAAGCGCTAAAATATTTTATCTGGTAGAAATTGTGTTTTTAAAAAATCATTTTCCGACTGGAAAAGTTATGTAAATTCATTGGTTAAATAGATCAGGATCCCTGAAAAACATTCAGCTCTTAAAACGTCTGGAAACCTGAAATGTAATGATTTGAATTATATTTTAGTGACCTTTTTAAATTAAAATAAGTTTTGAAAACAAATCTAGAGCTCGGAGTGGCTTTGGAGTCAGAAAGGTTGAGAAGCGCTGATCCAGAGTCTGACGGAAGGAGAATGTGTGTGTTAGCTGTCTAGAAATAATTCATCCAAGCAATTTAATTCTGTCATCATTCACACAGCCTGTGATTTCAAACTCATCTGACGTTCTTCTGTGGAACACGAGGAGATGCTGAGCGTTCAGAAGGACTTTCTGCTAAACGTCTTTTCTGAAGTCGTATGTAGTGATGTAACCGATGAGTTTGTGTTTTGGGTGAACTGTCCCTTTAATTCCATTGCATTATTGAGCTGAGCTGCATTATTTACTCCGAGGTCATTTATGATATCTGAAATATGAAACGACTCCAGACAGAGATGAGATGAGACGATTGCAACTGCTGCAATCAAAGGACAACAAGCATCTCATCTGAAACATCTCAAGAGCTCCATTTGTGTGTGTGTGTGTGTGTGTGTGTGTGTGCGTGTTTGTGTGTGTGCGTGTGTTTGTGTTTGTGTTTGTGTGTGTGTGTGTGTGTGTGTGTGCGCGCGCGTGTGTGTGTGTGTGTGTGTGCGCGTGTTTGTGTGTGTGCGTGCGAGTGTGTGAGTGTGTGTTTCTGTGCGTTTGTGTGTTGCAGTGGAGGCTCTTCATCTGGGGACGCTGATGGCGGCTCACGGTTATTTCTTCCCCATATCAGACCACGTTCTCATGCTGAAGGACGACGGAACCTTCTACCGCTTTCAGGTGAGACGCTCTGAGATTCTCTCATCTGATTGGCTGAGAAACTCGTGGCCATCTGAAGACCCGAACCGCTGATCTTCACATGTGTGGATGTTTCCATTAGTGTGATGAAACATGATCATTCATATTCTGATTCAAATTCATATTCATGACATCATTCATATTCTGATTCAGATTCATAATGTCACTCATATTCTGATTCAAATTCATAATGTCACTCATATTCTGATTCAAATTCAGATTCATAGCGTCATTCATATTCTGATTCAAATTCATGTTCTGGTCTGATGCATATTCATAATGTCATTCACATTCTGATTCAAATTCAGTCATAATGTCATTCATATTCATGACATATTCATATTATGGACTATGCATATTCATAATGTCATTCATATTCTGATTCAAATTCAGATTCATAATGTCATTCATATTCTGATTCATATTCATGTTATGGTCTGATGCACATTCATAATGTCATTCATATTCATATTCATAACGGCATTCATATTTTGATTCATATTCATGTTATGGTCTGATGCATATTCATAATGTCATTCATATTCTGATTCAAATTCAGAGTCATAATGTCATTCATATTCATGTCATATTCATATTATGGACTATGCACATTTATAATGTCATTCATATTCTTATTCAAATTCAGATTCATAATGTCATTCATATTCTGATTCATATTCATGTTATGGTCTGATGCACATTCATAATATAATTCTGATTCTGATTCATATACATGTTATGGTCTGATGCATATTCATAATATCATTCATGTTCTGATTCAAATTCAGATTCATAACATCATTCATATTCTGATTCAAATTCAGATTCATAGCGTCATTCATATTCTGATTCAAATTCATGTTCTGGTCTGATGCATATTCATAATGTCATTCACATTCTGATTCAAATTCAGTCATAATGTCATTCATATTCATGACATATTCATATTATGGACTATGCATATTCATAATGTCATTCATATTCTGATTCAAATTCAGATTCATAGCGTCATTCATATTCTGATTCAAATTCATATTCATGACATCATTCATATTCTGATTCAGATTCATAATGTCACTCATATTCTGATTCAAATTCATAATGTCACTCATATTCTGATTCAAATTCAGATTCATAGCGTCATTCATATTCTGATTCAAATTCAGAGTCATAATGTCATTCATATTCATGTCATATTCATATTATGGACTATGCACATTTATAATGTCATTCATATTCTTATTCAAATTCAGATTCATAATGTCATTCATATTCTGATTCATATTCATGTTATGGTCTGATGCACATTCATAATATAATTCTGATTCTGATTCATATACATGTTATGGTCTGATGCATATTCATAATATCATTCATGTTCTGATTCAAATTCAGATTCATAACATCATTCATATTCTGATTCAAATTCAGATTCATAACGTCAATCATATTCTGATTCATATTCATGTTATGGTCTGATGCATATTCATAATGTCATTCACATTCTGATTCAAATTCAGTCATAATGTCATTCATATTCATGACATATTCATATTATGGACTATGCATATTCATAATGTCATTCATATTCTGATTCAAATTCAGATTCATAATGTCATTCATATTCTGATTCATATTCATGTTATGGTCTGATGTACATTCATAATGTAATTCAGATTCATAACATTCATATTCAGATTCAAATTCAGATTCATGACTTCATACATATTCTGATTCATATTCATGTCATAGTCTGATGCATATTCATGCATATCATGACGTATTCGAGACGCAAAAGCGCCTGTTTGGCAATATCTTGGATTTTGAAAAGCCTGTTGACTTTTGCTGTTTATCTAAGGTGATTTTGGAAGTTTTTTTTAAACATTCGTTTCTTATTTAATTGGTTCCACAGTGTTTGCTGATTTTTACTTTATTTAAACTTTGTGTCATTTATTTATTTTATTTGACATCAAGGTGTATGCCGTGCCTCCAAGCTTCTTACTCGTTTTGCTAATAAACGTATTACGTTTCTTATTTATTTGGTTATATATTATATATGTTTACTTAGCCTATTTCCAGTTTTGTATACCTATTAAACTTTATGTAAGTTATTTGTTATTTTATATTAGGCATAGCCTGCCCTATAGCATGGTGTATTTGTATTTGTTTTGTTAATAAAAGTTCTATGTTTTATATATAGGCTAAAGTGAGTTTGACGTTGTATTTTGTTGTTGCATTCAAGCAATTGACGCCGAACTGCCGCTAATTCGAAAGTGAAAGTAAAATGTCACTTTTAAGCTATTTGAAAGCGAGGAAAGTGGGAAAATTCAAACGAACTAAAAACGAACAATTGCTTTACGCCTAACTGCCGCTATTTCAAAGTGAAAGTAAAATGCGCACGCCGCTTTTTCAAGCTATTTAAAAGCGAAGGAAAGCTAGAAAAAGAGGGAACGCCCCCGCGGTGATACCGGTATTACCGGTGTTGTCACACGTCGATTAACCGGTGGGAAAATTTCCTCACCGTCACAACCCTAATTCTAATGCATATTCATGATATTCACATACATATTCCTGATTTTATTATTCATATTCATTATTTCACTGTTCATATTCTGATACATATTCATATTCATGGTGTCATTAACATGCAGACACATATTCGTGACTTTATTCTTCATATTCGTGATGCCGTTGATATTCACTGTATTGTTAGCGGTAATGAGCAGGTTTGGTTATTCCAGTGACTCCAGTAAGGTCAGATCATAATTCTACACATACAGTGAGATTCTAGAGGATTCTGTGTTTCAGATGTGGTTCCAGCAGGTGTGAAATTAAACATTCAACATGTGTCTGTGATGTTTAGGTGGCCACATTAATTTGCCTATGTAGTGAACGTAGTTCATATGTGTGTGTGTGAGACCTAACGTGAACATTGAGGCGTCATTGACTGCTGTGTCCCTGTTTTGATCGCAGACTCCGTACTTCTGGCCGTCAAACTGCTGGGAACCAGAAAACACTGACTATGGTAAGAGCGTCTGTGTGTGTGTGTGTGTGTGTGTGTGTGTGGTGTTGTGTTTTATCCTCCTCTGATGTTCTTGAGCGCTGGCGTCCTGAAACACGAGAAAGTGTCGGACCAGATCAGACTAATCGATCAACAAACTCTACCTGATGTTCATCAGTGAGACGGAGACAGAGACGTCACACTCCAGCTTTAAACAGACCTGTCCATTGATTATAATCTCCATCCGATTAATTATATGATATGATAATTCATTAATCAAATGAAAAGCCCCCAAATGAAGATAATTCAAAGAGATGATAGTATACAGACAAGTAAAGCATTAGATGGAAGCGTTGTATTACTCACAAATAGCATTTTCTCAGCAATTGTTACCTCATAAAATATTTTACAGCGTAACATAATTTATATTCATTATAAAAGTCTCCATGCCTTTTAAGATTTTACTAATTTCCATAACTTTTCCAGGTCTAAAAATTGTACATCCAGATTTTCCAAGACTGCGAGAATCCTGGTTCGTGAATAAAAATAATGAATTAAAATAAGAAATACGATGTTTGTTTACATCTTGATTTTCAGCTGTTTTAGCTTATTTTAGTGCTTGTTTTGTCTTATTTTAAATCACTGAAGTCATCTTCCGGGCGTTTGGAAGTGTGCTGATGCCCTCTAGTGGGCCCCGGACCCCTGGATGAGAGCCACTGCTTTATATATCGCATGTTTATGAGTCTGAATGTGTGTGTCTGTGTATAATATAAAGCTTATTTGCTGTCCTTCTTGAATCTGAATGTCATATCAGATCAAATGCATTTCTACAGTCTGTTTCAGTGCAGTGAAGCATCGTCGGGTTTATATTGCAGACAGACTGTTTCATCACATCTAAAACAGCTAAAACTGTCTCTATCTGTCTGTCTGTCTGCAGCGGTTTACCTCTGTAAACGAACAATGCAGAATAAAGCTCGTCTGGAGTTGGCCGATTATGAAGCTGTGAGCATCTCTCTTTTCTGTTTGATTTGCATTAATGAAAATCTCATTCTGTGAATAAACAGGCTTTATGAACTGAAGTGTGTTTGATGAAGTCAGACGTAAGGATTGTATTTGCTGACTCATGTGTGTGTGTGTGTTTTCGCCGCAGGAGAGTTTGGCGAGGCTGCAGAGAGCTTTTGCACGGAAATGGGAGTTCATATTTATGCAAGCAGAAGCGCAAGCGAAGTGAGTGATCAGATCTCAGATCAGACGCTGGAATCGGCATCTGTGTGTGTGTGAGTGAGAGTGAGAGTGTGTGTGTGTGTGTGTGTGTGTGAGTGAGTGAGTGAGTGAGTGTTGTGTGTGAGTTCACAGTGCTTTCTCTCTCCCGTCAGAGTGGACAAAAAACGGGACAAGATCGAGCGGAAGATCTTGGACAGTCAGGAGCGGGCGTTCTGGGACGTTCACAGACCTGTGGTGAGTTTCACAGCGACGGTGATTGAGTTTCTGCATAATTACTCATTATTCAATGAATGAAATGATAATTATGGTTATTTACTCGCGTCTGAACTGCATCACACACCTGTCAGGACAAACTCAAAACCTTAATGATGTAAGATTTTAAATGGCCTCAGTCTGTAAAAGTATTATAGTGTTAATAGTTTATGAATATTCATGACGTGTGTGTGTTGCAGCCTGGCTGTGTGAACACTACTGAAGCCGACATAAAGAAATCGTCCCGGATGAAGCAGCCGCACAAAACACGGAAGGTAAACACACACTCACACACACACTCACACACACACACACACACTCACACACTCACTCACACACACACACACACACACACTCACTCACACACACACACACACACACACACATTAACGGCATATATAAATCTTGTATTCTCAGTGTGTACACGTCTGTCTAGTGTGTGTTTACATAGAAAAACAATGGAAAAGTAGCGCATTGGAATGGAAAAATGTGTTTCTGTGTGAACGGCTCCTCATAATTCTATATAAAGTGAGCAGTCACAGTTCAGTCTCATAAACGCTTGTGCTGACAATTAAGAGGAGATGAAGTGTGTAGAGTCACTGTCACAGTATTGTGTGCGTGTGTGTGTGTGTGTGTGTGTCTCTGCAGTCGGTGTACGGTCTACAGAACGACATCCGCAGTCACAGTCCGACGCACACACCCGCACCGGACGCGAAAGAGGC